CATTTGTAGTTCATGTATAAGGGTTTGCAAAAGCTGAAGTGGAGACATAATAATATTTCAGTTATGTACGACTTACTTTCACATATTTCTCCAGAAAAACCTTCGAGACAAACGCACGTGTACTCAGTTCCCGGGAATGTATACATTTCAGTACAAATACCACCGTTCTGGCATGGATTAGGAAAACAGCCTAAAATAATTACAAATCATTCTTTTTAGGATAAAAGCCTAAAATTATTACAAATCATTCTTATTAGGATTAAAGTCAAAATAATTACAAATAATTCTTAATAGGAAAATAGCCTAGAATAATTACAAAACATACTTATTAGGAAAACAGCCTAAAATTATTACAAATCATTTCTATTAGAATAACAGCCTAAAATAATTAAAAATCATTCTTGTTTTTAATTTTGTATTTTGTTACACTTCCTTCAATTCCACAAAAAAGTCGACCAATAAACCATCTTAAAACGTACTTTTAATTTCCTTTCTGCTTAAAGAACTTATTATTTATTTTTTATCTTCTAAATTTCTCAATGGAGGAATCAAATAATTATTTCTATTGATAATTTTTAACATATAAAGCAAGCTTTTAAGATTGACTTCGCAACTGCGTTAAAGTTTTTTATTCACAATATGGTGTAGATAATACTATCATAAAACTTTTGCCAACCCATAATCACGTACTATATTAAAATCCATTTCTTAAATGAAGATTTTAAGTTAATCCGTACTGCGAACCTATTCCTGATCAAGTAATTTATTATTGTGTTTCATCATCAATGCATTTTATTCTATATCTATAATTAAATGGTAAATTTCTATTATTCATGAAAATTCATCTTAGGCTTAAACGTTTGTTTACACACAAAAAATATTTCTAAAACGGGAAAAGATATGAAAGAGACAACTAGTTGCATTGCCGCTTTTATGACAAATCAGAATCTCATTTGTATTTCTAGCTTTCAAATGTAGCTTTTATGTTAAAAAGAACAATAACATGAGCAATTGTCAGAACAAAGTTCCCTCATTTCTGAACAAAGTCTTGTACATGTATTCTACTTACAATGACTGACTGATCTTTTTGTGAGTGATGCCAATGGTAAACTGATAGCGTATACAACAAAAATACAATGTAGCCACGGCAATCTGAAAATAAAAAATTGCAAGAATTTTGTTTTATTTCTATAGTTCTTGAGTAGATGAACGACATTCGTACATAGCCCTCAAATGTATCTGCAGATAAAATCACGTGACGAGTCTCAATAAAAAAAAACCCTAATCTTTTTCAATATGTATCGAATAACCATATTTACATTTTATTAGATATACTAGTACTTAAAAGAAGTGACATCGCAATAAGAAAATGTACTTTTTATTAAAAAGAAGTGTTTATATTTTCATTGGGACATTTACTGAAGTGTGAAGGTCGCATCGCTTGTTATTGAATATTATTGTTAATTTACTCTCATTAATTATTGTCAGTAAAGCATTAAGAACAAACCATGGCGGATCTTGTAGTGTATTTTATGTCAACTTCACTGTTATATCTAGTCAATGTATGGAAGCTATTTTTGTTAATTAATACAAATTCTTTGAAATACTTGATTGTATAGTTGGATGCCAAAGCAAATGTCTTCGTCTCAAGTGTAAGTTTGTAGAAATATCGAACAAACTGGTTAAGAGAGGATAATGGTGAGTGTCCATAGGAATTTAAAGAATTTATTCAAAGGCTTGATAATTGAAGAAAGACTATAAATATTTTGTCATCAGATTCTCTTAAAATCAACATCAGAGTATGAGTTAGAAAATATTGAGATTCTTTAAAATTAAAAGTGGTAAGAATAGACTTTTTTCTCGCTGCTTTGAAGGCCTACAACATCACCGCAATAATTAACAATAATCACTTTTACTACATTTCTTTTTACTTTAGATAGCTATTGTATATAAGTGTTCTTTAAAAATTATTCTTTTCTGCTTTTCGATGAATTAAAATATCAACAGCTTTTTTTCTCGTGTCTTTTATATCCAATGTTTTGAAAAAATTACAATTTTGGTTTTTTTCTCGTCATTTTAGAGCGCTTGGGAAAAAATATTACATTTTCTTTACACAAAGTTTTACATCTTTAAAAAGAAAAGATGAAGTGATTTCCACTAATACAGGTATATCTGTAAATCAACGGTTTTTTTCCTATCTTTTTTTTAAATTGTCGAACACTTCTGTATTCGTATCTTTTGTGTATTAGAAAATTGTCAACAGACAGTGCAGACAGAATTAAAATATTACTTAATATATATAAAAACTAGAAATTTGCTAAATTTCACTATAATGTACTACATTTTCTTTTTCTTGGGGACTACTGTAATCGATTTGTAGTTCTACATGTATGCATAAAAATAATAATTTTAATATATATTATAATACATTATGCATATTCAAGGGAAAAACCTACCTTTAATACTTGCATTGTCGTTTTTTGTCGTAGAATAGACTGTTAGAAGAGAAATCAAGGGTTTTATGGATAATTATTGATTAAATATTACTTGATATATCCTTATATAAGCTTGATTGAATTTTTTTTCTTTTTCTTAAGTTTTTACTCAGGTCTAGGGAATCTCATCAAAATGAGTGTAGGAAGTAGAAGAAGTGGACATGGGCATCGTTCAATAAGTAATGCATATTTTATTATAATATATGTTGAGGCATTTAATTGGTTTTTTTTTCACAGTTGAAAAGTTTAAGAAAGTCCTGAAAACAGAAAACCCCATGAATATTCCTGCTGTCTTCGCAAAGAAATTCACTTTTAAAGTAAACATGGTCAATAGACTGAGAGAAAAAATGTTTATAAATAACTGACAAGAAGATAAAAAGAATATTGTATGTAAAAAATTTGCTTTTTACATAAATCGTTGTAGAACTCATACCGATTTTAAGATATGATTTTATGCGTGTACAAAACTTTATCTTTAATGCTGTATACTTGTCAGATTGTTTCAATAATTCAAAAGAATTTTTTTTTAAGTTTAAATATAGCAGTCAATCTCGCCAATTCAAATGTGTGGGGACACTAAAAAATATTATTGTTATGTGCCACTTGATATCTGAAAATTTAATTTCCCATGGAAAGACACCTTTAGATAATAAACATTAAATTGTCACAGCATTTTATAGAATCTTGACAAAAAAAAGTGACAAAATTTCTATCAGACAGTTTTTTTTTCTTACAAATGCGTCGCCCGCGTGGCGCAGTAGTTAGAGCGTCTGCTCTAGAGTCGCGAAGTAAGGAGTCAATCCTTACGTCGCGGGTTCGAATCCCACTGCGGGACGTGGAGACCGGTCCTTCGGATGAGACCGTATAAACCGAGGCCCCGTGTCGCAGTAGGTGCTGGCACGAAAAAGATCCCTCCCTGCTCAATGGCCCTGAGTGCCGAGCAAAGGACAAAATTTGTAGCCCTCCACCGAATGGGGTCTCAACTAATTTTTATCTGTCTAATTTATTTTTTTTTAATTTAAGTTCGATGATATGGGCAATTTGGAAAGACATTTTGACTTCTATTACCAAAGTAAATATAATTTAATAGATTTATAAAAGAAGTTGTTTATGATTACAAAATTAGTCCGAAACAAATGGTATGGTTTTATTCACTTATTTCCAAATTCATATGATACAAGTAACAACGGGAACAATGACATGATGTCCATTCAATTTCATGCAAATTTTAGCATATTCTGATTTGTGTTTTATCTTAATCACATATGCAATCGAATTTGTTCTAAATGTAATTGACTAATGCAATTTGGCGTTAAAGGAATAGAAAATGTATTTTAAACCTAGGAAAGTGAATAAACTTGCAATGCAGTGGTGGCTATTATTCTTCAGTCAATGCCAGAATTTCATCGCAATTTCTTACGGCAGTGTGTTTATTGTTGGCCAATGCAGGTAGCAAAACTATCAAAAGGGCGAATGCAGGCTGCACAACTATAAAAAGGGCCAATGCAGGCAATGTGAATCGCTCTTTCTTTATCCTTTTCCCTCTCTCTTTCTATCTATGGTCACTCGGGCATTTCAAGGCTCTCAAGGCCAATGCAGGCATGGGCTGACTCTCTCACGCTCTCAAGAGAGTCCGTCAATGTCTGCATTGGCTCTTTAGAGAGCTAGCCAATGCCTGCACATCAGTCAGTCAATGCAGGCATTGGCCGACTTTACATCAGTCAGTCAATGCAGGCATTGGCCAACTGCGCAGTCAGTCAATGCAGGCATTGGCCGACTGCACATCAGTCAGTCAATGCAGGCATTGGCCGACTGCGCAGTCAGTCAATGCAGGCATTGGCCTACTGCTCATCAGTCAGTCAATGCAGGCATTGGCCGACTGCGCATCAGTCTGTCAATGCAGGCATTGGCCGACTGCGCAGTCAGTCAATGCAGGCATTGGCCGACTGCGCAGTCAGTCAATGCAGGCATTGGCCGACTGCACATCAGTCTGTCAATGCAGGCATTGGCCTACTTCACATCAGTCAGCCAATGCAGGCATTGGCCGACTGCACATCAGTCTGTCAATGCAGGCATTGGCCTACTTCACATCAGTCAGCCAATGCAGGCATTGGCCGACTGCGCAGTCAGTCAATGCAGGCATTGGCCGACTGCTCATCGCTCAGTCAATGCAGGCATTGGCCGACTGCATGCACATAAGTTCTAATGCAGTCAATGATAGACTCAAAAGACTGATGCAATGCAGGCGTTGTACATTCCACTGTATAAACATGTATAGGGACTGCAGGCATTGGAATAGCTTTAATTCATACGGCTAATGCAAATAAAATCTTCCTTGTAAAAAATATAGTTATACATGTACATATTGTATTTGTCAAAACTGGTTTTTTTACAGCAGACTTCTATAAATCAAGTAATGCCGATGAATGATCAATTTTAACGTTTATTTTAATTATGGAGAAGAACTTGCAGATAAGTAAAATTAAATAAAAACGATGTATTTTCAAAGACAGTTTGATAAAAATTATTTGCGTAGAATCTTTTATGCATTGTCAAAATGTTGTCTTCTTGATTCCTAAAGTAATCCATTTAGTCTGTGCAGTTCTCAGTACTTCGCCTGAAAATAGAATCGGAGTTAGTTACACAACATTGTTTGAATTCGTGTAAATTTGTATATAATTTTCGGCATTGTTTCACCAAATAATTACACATCGTCTTGTTCCAACATAATAATTTATGTTATACGCTCTAAATATTAATAAAAATGCTTCTTTCGCAGATTTTTAATTTTATGTATTCATGTAATCATCACTCAATAATCAAATACAAGTAGTGAGGCACAATATTGAATATAAAACCTTATGATATGGTCGTTGGCCACCATTTTAACAAACAGACTCAGGTCTCATAGAATCGGATATCATCACAGACTGTAGTCTAATGTTGCTGTAGATTCCATCTGAGTGTCACTCAACACTGTTAAGAAAAAAATAAGACATGTATTTAAAAATCCCTAGACAAAACAAACATGAACTTTGTAACTTTTGCCACTGCATGCATTATTTTTATGGAAAAAAATCACAACGGCCGAACCAAACTCTTTGGTGAGAGTGGGGCATGGAGTAAAAAAAACTTATCAGACCAAATAATTAAGGGGTACAACCATAAAGATTTCTAAACACACGCCATAATTTGCAAACATTTCTACGACTATATTTCTTTTTTTTCTACGCTAGAAGTCGAAAAAGTACGATTTACTTTAGAAAGAAGCTGTACATCAAAACTGGAAAATCCCGAATCCCAGAAATAATCTTAAAAATAGTTAAAAGCATTTTCCTTTTTTTTTTTTTTACATTATTATATTATATTATTTGGGCAAGTTGGAAATTAAAAAAGGCAAGTTATTTTGAATAATAATTGAAACATTTGCCAAATAAACACAATATAGTTGCATAATTTAAATAAAAGCATGGTAGGCTACTTTGTACAAACCTTCAATGTGTCTTAAATCTGCAGCTGGAACTTCCCGTCTTGAAAACGCATACTATAGGATAAAGATACACTGGACGAAGCTTTGCTTCAAGAAGATCACAACTGGTGTTTTTCCACTGCATAATAAAAACTCCATACTTTTTTAATCGCCAACATATTATTTTGCTGTGTGAATGATCAGTCTTCAAACAGGCCTAACTGTTGGGTGATGCACTACGTACTTATATGACGTCACAATATTACAGAAACTAAAATCCGCGAAACGTTAATAAGCCAAGGGGTTAAGATGATCTTTTTAAAATTCAACGATAAAAAGGACGTATTTCCAGTTACCAAATGTTGTGTGTTTATGCTGAATGATTATACACGTGCACATGTTACGTTTTACCAATCCAGGCATCGAAATACTGGTAATAGCTGACCATCCTACAGCAGAGGGGCCGATGATTGAGTGTAACGTCAGGCCTACAGACTGTATATCGTTCTTCGTGGTAAGTAGTTTGTACATCTGTTCATAAACCAGTTATAGATAAAAGTGTTTACTTCATAACATAAAACTTACATTAAGACGGTCGATTTTTTTTTTATTCATGATTAATACTCGGTCTTAATAGCTACTTTCACTTTTAAATACAGAGGCGTTCAAAAGATGGTGCATCGCAAGAAATTTTAATTTATGACGAATTAAAATAAATATCTACAATCAGAGTAATTTCAATCTATTTTTCCTTCACAATATTAAAAAAATTTGAGGATAATAATTATTTATTTCAGTTTTAAAACCGTTTCCTTGTAAGGAATGATGTACATGTAAACTCGTCCATTAGTGCATTACAAACCAGTCATATACAGATGAAAGTGAATAGTGAAAAAATCGAGAAAAAAAAGAAAACTCTGGTAAGATTATGTTTCTTTTTTCTTTTTTTTTTGGTTTGTTTGTATTTGTTTGAATGACAGGGATAGAATATTCATTCAATTCTGAAAAGAAGGAGGGGGGGGGGGGTCTGGAGATTTTTTTTTTAAAAAGTAGTTGTGCTAAAAAAATTGAATAAAGATAATATGTCCAGTGGCAGGAATTTAAAAGTAATATGCCTCTGGTTATCCGGAAAATAAATTATTTAGTCTTGTGAAGGCTTGGGAATGCATAGTTAATCTGCCTTACAGAATATATTGCCATCATATTCTTACAAAGTCTTTTCATTTGAAGAAATAAGTTTAAACTATTTGTGAACTATTCTAATCATAAACAGAGTTAATTAAATGAAATATTTGAAAAAAAAATTTGGTAAAGTAAATGTAAAAATAAACGGTAATTCGCGATTATTTTAAAAAGAAGTTTACTTTAATACTGCATGCATTTCTTTTTCAGGTATACACGGGTTAAAAACTACAATATAGACCAAAGGAAAAGAAAAAGATAGAGGATCAAGAAAACGCTTTATAATATATGAAATTAAATGAATAACATATATGCACGACTAAATGTGCCACTTTATTTCCTACTATTCATATACTTTAGGAAAATATTTATACCATTATACATGCATGTGCATATATCAAGTGAATTTGTTTTGTTACATCAGTTTCAGTCATGTTGGAAATTCACCAAATTCCCCGCAGTGAAAATTTTAATCAATTAATTAGAACAATTAGTACTTTGTTGTCAATTAACAGCCAAAATCATTTTTATGCTGGCTTCTTTGGAATTTATAAAATGAATAACACTTTTGTAAAAAAAAAAAGAAAAAAAAAAGACCAACTTTCACCCCATGCACGTTAACTTTTCTTATGTCCATTACGACGCTTTATGATTTTAAAATTATCTGGCCTCCTATTATTTTATATTTATCAATTTCAAATTAAAATGATATTATTTATCATTACCGAGTATACATATTCTTGACATGATAATTATTAACAATCAAACAGCCATTTTTTATAGAACAGTTTGTCAAAGTCAGCCAAGCCTGGGGATTTAAAATCTACTGTGAAGAAGGAGGTGTATTGACTGATTATGGAGTCAGCCAATGCCTGCATTGACTGACTAATGTGCAGTCGGCCAATGCCTGCATTGACTGACTGTGCAGTCGGCCAATGCCTGCATTGACTGACTGATGTGCAGTCGGCCAATGCAGGCATTGACTGACTGCGCAGTCGGCCAATGCCTGCATTGAATGACTGATGTGCACTCGGCCAATGCCTGCATTGACTCACTGTGCAGTTGGCCAATGCCTGCATTGATTGACTGATGTGTAGTCGGCCAATGCCTGCATTGACTGATTGCGCAGTCGGCCAATGCCTGCATTGACTGACTGATGTAAGGTCAATGCCTGCATTGACTGACTGATGTAAGGTCAATGCCTGCATTGACCAACTGATGTACGGTCAGCCAATGCCTGCATTGAATTACTGATGTGCACTTGGCCAATGCCTGCATTGACTGACTGATGTGCAGTCGGCCCATGCCTGTATTGACTGACTGTGCAGTCGGCCAATGCCTGCATTGACTGACTGATGCAAGGTCGGCCAATGCCTGCATTGACTGACTGTGCAGTCAGCCAATGCCTGCATTGACTGACGTGACATTGATAGACATTATAATGCACAATATCTGACAGAGCCTGCATTCATACTGCATAGTATTGGTAATCCTTCATTGGGGAATTGGGAAATGTAAATTAAATTTATCTGCATTCGGATAAAGTTGCACAAATTTAGTAGCATTGCAACAATGCAGGTAAGGAGATGTAAAATGGAAAAATAATTCTAATAAAAACATCTGCATCTGGAATTGCAGTATTTTACTTTTACCAATTTAACTTTATTTTGCTCAACTTTGAAAAGCAAAATTTTGTCAATTCAAATGTGTGCTTCAGCATAGGTTTTTGTAAGGTGAGGCACGAGTCATTTATAAACAAAGCTTTAAACAGTGATATTTGCATAAAAAAATAGTTGAGACAAATCAAAATTTAGTTGAGACTCCATTACCGGCAAGTGGTGGCGTCTCCATAGGAGTGAAAAATTCTCGAAAGGGACGTTAAACAATATACTATCAATACTATCTATCTTACAAATGCCTTAGAAAAAAAAATATGTGTTAAATATGACGACGGTTTATTTAGAAATAATGTTTTTAAGACAAAAAAGATTTTATAAACTTGCTTGATAAATGCCGAAACATAGGTGAACTTTTTTTGTAGCCGAAAAAATAAGATTAATAACGAAAAATGTAGAATCAAAGACAAAGAGTCATTCTATACTCTTCAAAAAAAGAAACGCATAGTTGAATTTTAGTTACACATTGAACATAAAGATTATTTGGTAAAATGATGCATCGATAAAACAGAAATGTGGTAAGCAACAGGAATACTTTCTATATGTCATAATTACTCAACAATCTTAAAATTACAGTCAGTTTAAGACCAGTAAAGATCAATATCTGGTATGCCCCCCGCAGACACAAAGGATAGCCACAAACGGCATATAATGGAAGCATATGTGTGTAATAAAAACTGTATAGGAATACTCTCCCATTCCAAATGTTGAACTTAAGTCAGCTGTTGCAGAATCTGGGGATGCGATTGTCTTTGGAAAATTATGTCAATCCATTTTCTCCGATGCTGCTTAATTTGGATTAAATCTAGCGATTTAGATGACTGTGGCTGAAACAGGTTGTTGTTTCTTTGCAAGAATAGGTGTGTCAAACGAGCCATATGTGGCTGTGCATTGTAAGATTGCAATACGGCTCTAGGATGCTGAAAAATTGAATGGGTATGTGTAGGTAGAACATGGTTAGAGTACCTTTTTTAATCAAAGTCCATTGAATTCGAAACAAATCAATCTTACTTTCTTATTATACTGTTTTCCATATCATAACACTACCACTACCAACTTTTTTAACGTCTTGGAAGCAGTTATCTGTCTAACAATCATTTCAAAGCATTAGCACTCTTAAACTTATAAGAGACTTTCAGAAAATCATTCTGGACTAGTAGGTTAACCAAAATGTTGATCTGAGATCTTTGAAGTTGATATTTGGGGTGTTGTGGGGTCGGAACACTGGCATGTAAATTCCTCGTGCAATAATTCTTAGTCAACTGAAAACGGTCTTCTTACATGATCTGTGCAGTTCAGGGATAGCTTATGCTTTAGATGACGTCCTTGCATTACATTCATGCAATTTACGTTATCCTCGGAAGTGATGCTGTTCTGCTGATGTCACACGTAGTCTACCATATTTTTTGCGATCATTGGGTGTTCGATGTTAATGGTTTATGTTTTATAGGTTAGATATGGTCTGTGTGAAACATTAAAACCTCTTGCAATGGTAGATTGCGGTACCCCTGCTCCCAGTCACCCATTTTCCTGTTTGTACTACGCAACATTCAGATGCAGCATTTTTAAGAAGAGTCATTTTGCAGATAAAACCAGATTCAAAATATCGAGAACCCCCGCTTTTGATAGCCCCTTTGTACCTGAAGGAATTGCATCGAAATTCAACAAATGAAAATTGAGATCAAAATTTTGGGGGAAATTTTGCAAACTCAGGTCTTTTTGTCTGTGGTAGTTTTCATGTATTTAGGGAGGTCCATTAGAAAATGTACGTAAATTCAAATAAATGGTAAGCAATGGTTACTGTTATGTTCGAATTACAGTTAGTAAAGTTAAACAGATTTCCTGCAACGGTAGTCCAAATCGATGAGCATGGTATTTTTCTTGTGGCCTGATAATGCAGCTGCATATAAGCTGGGAGAAATAAATAAGATTCTGAAGAAAAGAGATTAAACAAAACATTTTCGTCGCTCACATTTGATAGATCTAAGCCATCATGAGATCTTTTATTCCCAAAACACATTAAATCAATCAGAGGAAGATTGTACAATGTCAAATATGTAATGGTAAATGATATTCGTCAGTGCCTTTAGGGCATTCCTAAAGATGAGTATGTTGGAGACTTCTGTGTATGGATACAAATACATAAGACATGTGTAAAGGATAACAGGGAATGCCTTGAAAGATTGAAACTAAAAAGAGTTTGTATTACGTATTTTTCTTACTTTTAGATGACATGGTGCATCATTTATTGAACGACCCTCGTATATTCCCCAAAATTTTCTATCAGTAAAGAGTCAAGTTTTGTTTTGTCAAACTATTTAAAAGTATAATAAATGTAGCCCATTTTGACTTCATAGAAAACATATCGAACTCGCACCCATGCAAGGTCGATATGCTCTTCTGCGAAATTGGCATACAGTATTATAGATAAACTTAAAAGGGCTATATATGTATGTTCAATTGAACAAATTTGATTTGCTATAAATTATAAACATTGTTAATTTCAGTCTAAAAGATTAATATCTTACCTTTCAGGTATAATACCAAAATCAATATAAAAGCTATAAAAGCAACTGTCAGCAACACTCCAAGAACTATTAAAATCACCGTTCGT